GCAGTAGTGGTGCCAACCTATGGTAGTAGTGGTGCCAACCTAAGGTAGTAGTGGTGCCAACCTATGGTAGTAGTGGTGCCAACCTATGGTAGTAGTGGTGCCAACCTAAGGTAGTGAGTGGTGCCAACTCATGGTAGTAGTGGTGCCAACCTATGGTAGTAGTGGTGCCAACCTAAGGTAGTAGTGGTGCCAACCTGAGGTGTAGTGGTGCCAAACCTAAGGTAGTAGTGGTGCCAACCTATGGTAGTAGTGGTGCCAACCCATGGTAGTAGTGTGCCAACCTAAGGTAGTGGTGGTGCCAACCTATAGTAGTGGTGCCAACCTAAGGTAGTAGTGGTGCCAACCTAAGGTAGTAGTGGTGCCAACCTATGGTAGTAGTGGTGCCAACCTAAGGTAGTAGTGGTGCCAACCAACCAACACTAGGACACAGTATTACCAGGCCACAAACACAGTGTTACCAGACCACAGCGACAACACCGCGGGCGGGCGAGGACCTACCTGAGGGCGCGGGAGAGCTTGTCGTAGTTCATGTTAGGTTTGGACTTCCTCTCACCCCATCGTCTCGCCACTTCGTCAGGCTCCAGGATCTTGAACTCCCCGGCCGTGCCCTCCCAGGTGATGATGCCGGAGTTGGCGGGGTCTGAGAGCAGCTCCAGGAGGAACTGCCACAGCTGGATCTGACCTGAGCCTTGGGCGGCAGGCAGGAAGAGCGCGGGCCAAGGATCTCATAGGGGTCCACTGTAATGTTGGGGAGGTTAGTGGTGGGGGTGGTGGTGGGGGAGAGGGTTAGTGGTGGGGGTGGTGGTGGGGAGGAGGTTAGTGGTGGGGTGGTGGTGGGGGAGGAGGGTTAGTGGTGGAGGTGGGTGTAGTGGGGGAGGAGGTGGTGGGGGAGGAGGGGTTAGTGGGAGGTGGTGGTGGGAGGAGGTTGGTGGGGAGGTGGTGGTGGGGAGGAGGATTAGTGGGGGAGGAGGGTTAGTGGTGGAGGTAGTGGTGGTGGGGGGTGGTGGGTGCAGGTAGTGGGGGTGGTGGTGGGCTAGTGGTGGTGGGGGGAGTAGTGTGGTGGGGTGCTGGTGGTGGTGGGGGTGGTGGTGGTGAGGGTGGTAGTGGTGGTGGGGGGTGGTGGTGGTGGGGGTGTGGGGTTGTGGTGGTGGGGTGCTAGTGGTGGTTGGGGGTAGTGGTGGTGGGACTAGTGGTGGTGGGGTAGTGGTGGTGGGGGTGGTGGTGGTGGGGTGCTAATGATGGTGGGGGTGCTAGTGGTGGTGGGGGGTTGAGTGGTGGTGGGGTGCTAGTGGTGGTGGGGTGGGGGTGGTGTGGGTAGTGGTGGGGGTGCTAGTGGTGGTGGGGTGCTGAGTGGTGGTGGGGTGCTAGTGGTGGTGGGGTGCCTGGTGGTGGTGGGGGTTAGTGGTGGTGGGGTGCTAGTGGTGGTGGGGTGGGGTAGTGGTGGTGGGGTTCTAGTGGTGGTGGGGGTAGTGGTCGTGGGACTAGTGGTGGTGGGGGCTAATGGTGGTGGGGGTAGTAGTGGTGGGGGCTAGTGATGGTGGGGTGCTAGTGGTGGTGGGTAGTGGTGGTGGGTGCTAGTGGTAGTGGGGTGCTGAGAGTGGTGGGGGAGTGGTGTGGTGGTGGTGATGGTGGTGGGGTAGTGGTGTGGGGTAGTGGTGGTGGGGTTAGTGGTGGTGGGGGTGGTAGTGGTGGTGGGGTAGTGGTGGTGGGGTGCTAGTGGTGAGTGGGGGTTAGTGGTGGTGAGGTGCTGAGTGGTGGTGGGGGGGTTAGTGGTGGTGAGGTGCTAGTGGTAGTGGGCTAGTGGTGGTGGGGGTTAGTGTGGGTGTGGGGGTGGTGTGGGGTGCTGGTGGTGGGGTGGTAATGGTGGTGTGGGGGTAGTGGTGGTGGGTGCTAATGATGGTGGGTGCTAGTGGTGGTGGGGGGTTAGTGGTGGTGGGGTGCTAGTGGTGGTGGGGTGGTAATGGTGGTGGGGGTAGTGGTGGTGGGGTGCTAGTGGTAGTGGGGGGTTAGTGGTGGTGGGGTGCTAGTGGTAGTGGGGTGCTAGTGGTGGTGGGGGTTAGTGGTGGTGGGCTAGAGGTGGTGTGGGGTTAGTGGTGGTGATAGTGATGGTACAAGAAACTAATAATAATAAACCATAACAATCATTCCTAAAATAAACAAAACATCAAATACTAGCTAAAAAAAATATATTGAATAATAACAATACATCAGACAATTACAGTAATAATTATTTATATATAAAATTAAATATACAGGGTGTCCCAGAAAATGTCTCTTCCTCCCTACCTCCCTGTCTCCCTGTCTCCCTGTCCAACTCAGTGTCTCAGGGAGGGAGGAGGGAGGGGGGGGATATTTTTCTGGGACGCCTTAGATGAAATAGATTGATATAAAAGTTATTGTTGTATTTGTTGAGGATATATTAATGTTTTTTATAAGACGTGGTATAGTTTGTGTTATATATCAGTAATTAGTGTGATATATGTCAAGGAAGTATATTTATGTTGATAGATGCAATAGGGACATAACAGTTTAATATAGCAAGTATTATTATAATGTACACTGTATATATCAACACATATACTGGTCATTATAGCATCATACAGTATAACTCTATATACCGAACACATATACCTGTCCTTATAATATATTTGAGATGTTTACCCGAGTTTGCTAAGTGGAGGTACTCGGTGGAGGCAGCCCACACCGGCATTCTCACGCCCACCTGCGCCCACACCGCCCACGGTGACGCCACTACCCCTGCTACACCACGCCCACACTCCACAATGACGTCAGTGCCCCTGTTAAACCACGCCCACACTCCACAATGACGCCAGTACACCTGTTTCACCACGCCCACACACTCACAAGCTCAACCAATCAGTAAAGAGAAACAAACACGCCCAAAATTACACCTGTCCACTTACACCGCCCATACTTGTGTGTAATGTAAAGACCACGCCCACTTGGGCGTCTACCAATTAACACGCAGGTTTAACCAAGGAATGTAACGTAGACGCCACGCCCCTACGACAATCCACCAATCAGATTACAAAGATCACCTTTGCGTGTGATATATAGGCCACGCCCTTACTAGAATCCACCAACCACCACTCAACACTACCACGCCCACCAGCGCCAGCACCAATGACGATCAATATCCAGGTTGCTTCTACCAATCAGAAGCGAGTGGCGTGCGCTCCATCGTGGCCATGTTGCTGTACCTCCGGGCGTGGTACAACAGTAGTACAGGGCGTGGAACAATAGTACAGGGCGTGGAACAATGGAGCAGGGCGTGGAACAATGGTAACAGGGCGTGGAGCAATGGTACAGGGCTTGAAGCAATGGTACAGGGCGCGGTACAGTAATTATTCAGCGCGTGGTACAATGGTACAGGGCGTGGAACAATGGTACAGGGCGTGGAACAATGGTACAGGGCGCGGTACAGTAGTTATTCGGGGCGTGGTACAATGGTACAGAGCGTGGAACAATGGTACAGGGCGTGGAACAATGGTACAGGGCGCGGTACAGTAGTTATTCAGGGCGTGGTACAATGGTACAGGGCGTGGAACAATGGTACAGGGCGTGGAACAATGGTACAGGGCGCGGTACAGTAGTTATTCAGGGCGTGGTACAATATATGCTTTCGCTAATCGTAAAACAGTTCATCTGTGGTGAAAATTCTCAATTACTTTCTTAAACAGTTTTCTTATTGACTTTCTATACCGTGTTTTCTAAGTTACTTTCTAATACCGTGTTCTCTAATGACTTTCTTATGCAGTGCTTTGTAAGTTAACAAAAGTGATTTCTAATTGATTTTCTAATACATTGTTTTCTAAGTTACTTCATAATACAATTTTATGTTACTGTCTATAATGCTTTCTAAGTAACTTTCTAATAGTTTTCTAATCCCACTTTCTACTTTCTGTTATTTTCTCAGATATATTTATATTATTATTGTTTTTTAATCTCTCTTTCTTTTTTAGATTTGATAATTTGTTTGTTGGAAGAAATTTTACCTGTTGGGATGTTAAAATATAGGTTAATTAGCTTGTAGTGGTGTGTGTGTGTGTGTGTGTGTGTGTGTGTGTGTGTGTGTGTGTGTGTGTGTGTGTGTGTGTGTGTGTGTGTGTGTGCGTGTGTGTGTGTGCGTGGGTGTGTGTGTGTGTGTGCGCGTGTGTGTGTGTGTGTGTGTGTGTGTGTGTGTGTGTGTGTGTGTGTGTGTGCGTGTTACTGGATTAAAATTGGAATATAGAATGCAAGGGAAATGAATGCCTGCACACACCTATTTAGTGTTCTCAAAGAACGAAGAACAACAGCAATAAATAATAAATAATGGAAGAAGATGAAGAGAGAAGAGATAAACATTTCCTACACACTAGTAAACACGGAATAGAGAAGAGAGAGAGACAGAGAGGCAGAGAGAGAGAGGCAGAGAGAGAGAGAGATTAAAATTATATCAAACCTCAACTGTATTTTACACTAACCTAAACTAACCTAATGTCTCTCTCTCTCTCTCTCTCTCTCTCTCTCTCTCTCTCTCTCTCTCTCTCTCTCTCCCTCTCTGCCCCTCTCTCTCTGCCCCTCTCTCTCCCCCTCTCTCCTCCCTCTCTCTCTCTGCCCTCTCTCTCTGCCCTCTCTCTCCCCTCTCTCTCTCTCTCTCTCCCCCTCTCCTGCCCTCTCCCTCTCTCCTCTCTCCTCCCCTCCCTCTCTCTCCTCTCTCCTCTCTCTCTCTCTCTCCTCTCTCTCTCTCCTCTCTCCTCCTCCTCCCTCCCCTCTCTCCCCTCTCCCTCTCTCTTTGCCCCTCTCTCTCCCCTCTCTCTCTCCCTCTCTCTCTCCCTCTCCTCTCTCTCTGCCCCTCTCTCTCTGCCCCTCTCTCTCTCCCTCTCTCTCCTCTCTGCCTCTCTCCTCTCTCTCTCTCTCTCTCTCTCTCTCTCTCTCTCTCTCTCAGATTATACACTAACCTCCCAATTATTCAGATACACTTAACAAAGGTGTATGCTATTTACTATACACTCTCAAGGTTGTATGTGTGTTAGGTGTATGATCAATGGTGGATGTTGTTGTCCATTTTGTATGATGGAGAATTCGGCCTCAGTATGATAGCAGGATGATATAATTTTAGCGTAATTTATCTATCTATCTATCTATCTATCTATCTATCTATCTATCTATCTATCTATCTATCTATCTATCTATCTATCTATCTATCTATCTATCTATCTATCTATCTATCTATCTATCTATCTGTCTGTCTGTCTGTCTGTCTGTCAACGTAGATCCGGAATGAGGAAATATGATAATAAACGAGAGATAGAGAGAGAGAGAGAGAGAGAGAGATAATTATTTAATGATGAGATAAAAGTAAGCCAGTGTGTACATATTATACACACACACACATGTACACATTTTTATACACACACGGACATGTTTTACATATACACACAGATTTATACATTTTCTTTCACACATACATACCATACATACACACACAAACATATCACATATACACACATACACATATCACTTATACATATACACACGTACACATATCACATACGAGTATACACACGTACACAAATTATATATATACACACGTTTACACATCATACATACATACATGCATACTGTACACATATACACACACAAATATATATGTTAGTTGTGTATTGTCGACTCATCAGTGAAAGAGAAATTCTGAAGTTTAGTTAGATTTTATTGAAATAATTAAAGTTATTTGT